GTTGGTTGCTATTTAGGCAAGAAAGCAAAAAGAGGAGGGGTCCCTCCCCCAGGTATAGATCTTGCCCTGGAAGGTTTTCTCCTTGTACTGCCAGCTTTCACACGTGATCATCTTTTCTCTTAATAGTGCAGTGAGAGGCTGGAGCCATGCGGTGAGCCAAAGGTCCAGAGGCATCGGCAGCAGCTTCCTCTTCCGCTGGATCCGTGCTGCCTGGGATAGCTTCCTCTTTGAGTTTGCGCTCAGGTAAGTGGTGCTGGATGCTAGGACTGTTGTCCTTGTGTCATGTTGTGTTTGTTTATGAGCTCCTCCCAATGGTGGCTGTGCAGGCTCAAGAGAAATCGTAACATGTCCAGAGAAGAGTGACCCAAGTGATCAGAGATCTAGCAACCAAGCCTTAGGAGTGCTGGTTTTGACCTTTGAAGCCCTAGACCAGGGGTAGGCAACCTTTTTGAGCCGGGGGGCCGGGGTGCTGTCCCTCAGACAATTGAGGGGCCGAAGCACCAAATACTGGTAAATAAATAAATAAATGAATATTTAAAAATAAAATAAATAAATAAATAAATATGCATGCATACTCTCTCAGCCCCAGAAAAGCCATGGCAAAACCCCTGTGGAGATTTTGCCAAGAAAACACCAAGAACAATTAATAACAACAATAATCATTATCATCATGGAAACGACTGGAAGGCAGGCCCACAAACAAGCAAGGATGCATGCACACTGTCTCAGCCCCAGAAAAGCCATGATGGCAAAACCCCTGTGGAGAGTTTGCCAAGAAAACCCCAAGAACAAGTAATAACAACAATAATCAATATCATCATGGCGGGTGGTGGGCGGCGGCGGCAGGACCAGCTTGAGGCCGGTCCAAAGGCCTCGGGGGGCCACATCCGGCCCTCGGACCTTAGGTTGCCTACCCCTGTCCTAGACTGCTTGGGTCCAGATTGTCTGAAAGGCCGTATCTTCTCACATAGTTATAAAGTATGCAGGGGCCCCTTTCTCTCAGTCCCGCCATCTTCACAGGTACAATGAGTGAGAACTTGGGAGAGAGCCTTCTCTGGCTGTTCCCAGGCTTCCCTTCCATGGAAAGTCCAGTTGGCCCCTTCCTTGCTTTTTTGTCATTGCAAATAAAGACCTTTTTATTCAGGCAGGCTTTGAATTTTATGCATGGGTTAGTGGTTTGAGCGTTGGACTACAACTCTGGAGACCAGGGTTCGAATCCCTGCTTGGCTGTGAAAACCTGCTGGGTGACCTTGAGCAAGTCACAGTCTCTCAGCCTCAGAGGATGGCA